ATTATATTTACGCTAAGTAGAGAAAGAATGGGAATTCTGTTGTTCACATGAGCTGCATTTCAAGGCTTTTATTTTCGCTGTTGACTAATAAATGTCAGTGGCCATACTTATTAACGTATTGATTTACATCAGCGCTTGAATTAGCCAGCTTGCTAATATGAATCCACTTTTTATGCGAGCGAATATAAAAGAAACGCCAGCGGTAGTTAGAAACTCAATTTCCAAACACCCTACAATGTAACTAAATATAACGTAAGGGTTAAATGAAGGAAGATCGTGCTATGTAGTAAGAAATGTAACTTGTGCGGAGTAGCTAGTTAGCCAGATAGGCTAGCTTTGCTCTCCTGTCAGTCTAGTGATACGCATTAAAGCGGGGAAGCTAAGCTAACTGCTCCGAAAAAGTGACGCTAACTTCGTTTGGCTTCATAAAACGTACAACCACAAGTAAACATAGAGAAGCCAGCGCTTACCGCGTGTCTCCTGTTGCTATACCGTGAACTCGATGTTTAATATAACATTATTATCCTGTAAATAGATGTTAGCCACATCACTCCACGGCTTCAGCCGAAACGTCATCAGTAAACAACACCACCGCGGCTTCCGTACATCTAGTGTTGCCTTTGTAAATGTGGGAAATTTTCCTATCGCTTTACGGTGGTCTTCAAACCTGCACCCCGATAATAAAGAAACGGCTGTATCTGTGCCATTTCGTTTGAAAAAATATAGTTTAACATGTATAATGTTTCAATTCAACTCATCAATATCCTGTTTTAGACAAATACATGCTCGTAGTCCCACAAGTGACATCTCAGATAAAGGATTTCCGAGGAGCATTGGAAGGTATCAATTCATGTACAATTCGTCATAGCTTTCGCGCGACCCTGGGCCTTATGGCTGTGGAAACTCACATTTGTCAAGACACTAGACAGGGTCGTGTGCGTTTAATAGGCTTGTATTCCGTTTTAGTTAATAGTTTCTTGGGGAAAAAAACTAATCAGTACCACAATTGAAAATAAATCCCGATAATGTTCCGTTACTTTGGGATTACGTCAATATCGAATCGAATGCAATGCAAAATAAATACAAAAGGAAATGTCAATTGGCCTAATACTAGCCTATGTAAGACAACAGAACAATCCATCTTTCCTATTTCTAAAAGATGTACCAGTAATCTGATTACGTATTTTTTAATGTAAGTGATTACAGTAACCGATTGTGTATCCTTTTTACGTAATCCCGTTACTGCTCAAGCCTAAAAATAGATTACATTTCCAATGGGCGGCTCCTAAATAAGCTTTTCTTGAAATTATTGAATTATCTATGCAAAAAACAATAAAAACAGAAAAAGAAAAGCAGAGATTCAGAACGAGTAGGCCTACGTTAAAGTCAATGAAAGTAAGAATCTTTATGTCCGTCACACAGGTGATGTATGCTTTCAGTGTTTTGGTCATCTAACCGTTATGATGGAATGTCATTATCATGATCAAATAACCTGATCAACAGGCTATTTGATGCATGTCCATGCACTGAAATGTAGGCTAGATATACACTGTTATTAATATACTGCGTTGGGTAGAATAAAGCGGCGGGAAATTATCATGCCAATACATTCTGAAATCAAAATGATATCACCTTGGAAATTACAAGTGCATATAATGTATATGTATTATGTTTGTCTCGATAACATATGCAATTATATGCATTCAAATATTACATAGGCATAATTGTGGTGAAAAGTCTTTACTTCAAAATCAAACTTGTACACATTTTATTTCTGCGGCCATTCGGTCATGTCAAATCATATCTCTCTTTCTGAGGATTTCCATGGCTGCCAGTTTTTAAGTGTTTTAAAGACAATAGGCCTACTATAATAACTAAGAAGAGTTCATTTCTCACAACCTGTCAGTACAAATACATCAAAATAACTGCCAAACCAACATGGTCTTTCACTTATAATAACGAGCAATTGTTTAGGTCTTAGGGATGTATCAGATTGTTGCGCTAAGCACAGCCCGGGTCAGGAGATCATGGAGGCAGCTAGCGGAGCCTCTCCCTGTCCGTTAGATAAAGCCTGCTGAGTACACAGTCCACAAGCCTGTGTGTGTGTGTGTGTGTGTGTGTGTGTGTGTGTGTGTGTGTGTGTGTGTGTGTGTGTGTGTGT